GAAGTAGGATTGCCCAACCTTCCTTCCGAGGAGTGGCTAGTGGGTTTGAACCGCCAGCCTTCTGGTGAGCAGTCAAGTGCCTTAGCCACTATGCTACCAGAGCTCCCTCTTGTTCATAGTATGTATGAATTTATCTTTATCATTTACAGACAAAATGTCTATGTGGAAAGTCATACGGAGAGACTCTCTGTGTTTCCTGCAGCCCACTTTGAGTTGCTTGTAAATCAGCTTGAGACCAAAAACAGTTGCCATTGAGTTGACCCCAGTCAAGTAACACTGACTCATGGTGACCTCATACGTGTCAGAGTGGAAATGGACTCCATAGGGTTTTTAATGGCTGATTTTTTAGAAATAGATGGCCAGGCTGTTCTTTTAAGGTACAAGTGGGTGGGCTCAAGCCTACAACCTGCATGTGCTGAGCACATTGACTTCTCACATCACTTAATGACTCTCAACTCCCCTGAGACCAGCATGGTTTTCTCACTCAATAAATATAAGAAATAAACTTTATTGTTTATGAAAGTGCTATGAACAAGAAAACAAACAAATACATGAGAGAAGGGTAGGAGTGGATCTCTTTAATATGGTGTTGTAGGGTTCAGCATAGGCTCTGTTTTTCTGTTGTTTTTAGGTGCTGTTGAGTCAGCTCCAAATCACAGCAACCCTATGTACAACAGAATGAAACACTATCTATCGTTGTAGCCACTGTGTCAATCCATCTCATTGAGGGCCTTCCTTTTTCTCACTGACCCTCAGCTTTACCAAGTATAATATCCTTCTTTAGGGAATGGTACCTTCTGACAACATGACCAAAATAGGTGAAACGAAGTTGGCCATTCTCGCTTCAAAGGAACATTGTAGGTGCACTTCCTCCAGGACACATTTTTTAGTTCTTCTGGCAGTCCATGCTACTTTCACCACAACACCACAATTCAAAAGTAGCTACAGTAAGCTTCTTCTGAAAATTTAGGATTTGTGGAGGGACTTGAAGGCAGTGAGGAAATTGGCCATATAATTAGCTACAGGAAGACTATTCCAAGAAGAAAGTATAGTGAGAGGAAAAGCCCTAAGTTAGAAGAGGACTCTAATCAAAAACCAAACCAAACCCAGAACTATGGCATCAATTCCAACTCATAGCAGAGAATAGAACTGCCTCCTGGGTTTCCCAAGGCTGTAAATCTTTATGGAATCAGACTGCTTTCTCCTGTGCAGTGGTTGGTGGGTTCGAACTGCTGACATTTTGGTTAGCAGCCAAGTACTTAAAACCACCGTACCACCAGGGTTCCTTGAAGAGAACTC